TCATACTCAACATCATAATTACATCTGCAAGATCTTGCATAGTAAGGATTTTAGTAGTATTGATATTTTGAATTCTTTTAAGTCCTTCCTCTAAGAAAAAGTGTTTGGGAGTTTTAGATAGATTGGGTAATCACTGTTCGAGTTGCCTCTTTTGAATTTCATTAGAAGCTCAAGTAACTTCTGATAATTTGGCATATATATAAATTTGCTCGAAACCAACCCCAGCTTCTGCTAACTCTCTACGAAATTGTGAAACACAAGAACTGGCTATCACAATTGCTTCATCTGTATTATTTTTTGGCACAGCTAAGTCTAAAGCATGTAACCAAATATTCCACACATCTTTAGTTTTTGTATAATATTGAGCTCTTTCCTTGATAGTAAGCCTTTTCTTTTTGTTGTTTGGAACCAGAGCTTCTATTTGATTTTCTTTGAATAAGCGCTGACGGAGAGCCTCTTTCACATCTTTACGAGCTTTCCAATCCAGTAGCATAGTACTAAGCTCATCGGCATGAGCATGTAATTGAAGCGGGTTTAATTCAGCTGATAAGTTATATTTATTGAGTACTTGATCTAAAATGGAGGTAAAGCTATTAGTTTTGGGTTTTCTAGTTTTTTGGACAGTTGCCATGATAGATATGTAAATAATCTATATCGATAAGTAGAATGTGATTATAGATTAACCTACTTATTTTTTTCAATTCGAAATTAATTATGCTTTTTCCTCCTATACCCAGAAAAAAGAGGTTATGTATATATATAGAGTTACTAGATGTTGAGCTATATGATTATACTTCATGCATAAAATCAGGTAAGTCAGGTATATGATTCTCAAATATAGCAATTTTTGCGCATAATTCATCCTGTTTTTTTTGTTGATAATTGACTCTTCTACAATATTTTCCTAAATGTTTCACACACATGCCATATGAAGAGGTAGTTGGCATACCACATTCACCACATGGAGTACATGGTCGAATTTTCTAGTGAAGAACGCATCCTTCTTGATGATAGCAACCCTTTCCATAAATACGTCCATCAATAAAAGTATATGGACAAGAATAAAATCCTATGCTAATATCAATAATTAATAACTTTCAAATTTCTATATATAAAATAATTATTTTTCGTTGTAACAATATTTATATAAACAAATTCAAGATTACTACATATACTTTTTGTTAGATCAAACAACGCATATATACAAATCAATCAAATGAGTTTGTCTAGTAAAACAAAAAAACGTTTGTGTGAATCGTTACAACAACAGTATCTAAATCAAAAATCTATTGAATATAATGAGGCTAAAAAGCTTTTTACAGGTTTAACGGATCTTGATTATAAAGCTGGTCATAAAGAGCATATATTTTATAAATACTGGTTTGCATCTAATGGCCATGTCAGCTCTTCTGATAAAAACGAAACAGTACTTTTAGAGGCATACCAGCCTGAAGAGATCCATTCTCAATATATAATTCGGATGGCAGGAAAAGGTTATACAGTGATTGATCATCCTAGCGAAGTTTATAGAATACCTGATACTCATGAATGTATTGATGGTAACCAGCCTCTTCGTTTGATTATTGATATTGATGCAAGGCAAAAGCCTGATCCATCTAATTCTGAACTTCCTTCTCTAGATAGTAAGAAAATTACTCATGGAGATTTGATGTCTCAAATTTTAGTTGCTTGTGCGGATGCATTAAGCCTAATACCAGATTGTATACTTTTTTTAAATTCTTTTGCATTAGCAAGTTCTTTGAATGCTAATAAATGCAGTTGGTATATTATTTATCCTTGGGCTCAATTCATAGATTATAGAGAACTTAAAGGTTTTACAGAAAAAGTTATGGAATTAGTTGGAAAACCTTATTCTGAGTTTATAGATGTTGGCCTTTCCAAAAAACATTTCAATCTTCGGCTTCTTGGATCAGCAAAAGAAGGACACATAAAAAGATTAGCAATTTCTTCTATTAAGAATAGATTTAAAAAGCTAGAGGATTATTTAGTTCAACCCAAAGATAATTACTCTGTAATCTGGCCACAAACTTTTTCTGATGAAAAGCCAACAGAGAAGGAATACCAACCTATCATTGATGAAAATGCTCTGATTAAAGGAGCCAATTTAGTTATTGCAAAATATAGGTAGCTTCAGATTGGAAGAACCGAGAAAGGATTTATCAACTTTGAAGCACGATCGGTCTACAGTGCAGGAGGCTTTGTCTCTAAAGAGTGCCCTATATGTGATGTTAAACATGAAAAAGATCAACTCTATGGATTTATTCGACAAAATAGGCATTTTGTACTTAAATGTTATCGCCAAAAACAATATAAGCCAGATCACAAGAGCCTTAGCTTCAATAAGGTATCAGACAAAATCAAGTTAAAAGT